ATAGCCTGAATTAATGATAATAAAATGTGATTGGCAAATAAAAATTACAAAAAAAAAGTGTAATTAAATATAATTGTTTCGTGTAAACAACCATACCTTTATAATGAAATATATTTCGCTTTGAAATCGTTTTTTATAAGAAAAATTACATTTGTGTAAATGGAATCAAGCACTTGACATAATACAAAAACTTACGTTGCTGTCGAAAGAGGGCGCCACTGTAGTTTATGGACGGACTCCATACGGACTCTATTGCCTGTACCAGTTTTATGTTTGGCCAAGTGTACATGAGGGATTTTTAAAAGTAATTGAAAATGTGTGTCTAATAAAAATTGTATTTTATCGAATTTGTCGCATAAAATTTTCCAAGCACCTTGGAAGGGTTTATCCGTACCTTTAAAGCCTTCAATAATCCTAGAAGCATAGTTTTCTAACGATGCTTTCAAGAACTCGAATAACATTTATTGTAAACTAGCTAATGACCCGCTGCGTTGCCAGCGTGTAAATACATTTTGAAATAATACACTTCTTTTCAAATTTTGTTGTTGATTTTCTATTTAATTTTTTTTTTTAAATCCGATATCAGAGTCGCTTGCCAGTGAGTTCAGTGGCGCATTTTAAGCACTCCAGAGCTGCTCTAGAGCGCCCCGGGCTGTTTATAGGCGTTCCAGTGTATCAGAGTTTTACGCAACCGAACTTTTTTTTTCGGGATAAAAAATAGCTCATATCACTCTCCTCTATAGCCGATTCGATTGACCGGATTAGATCGATCTGGTTCAATTTAAATGAACCACACTGTGTTCGATTCAAGCTGGATCAGTGCACCCTCATCAACAAAAAAAAATGATCTAGATCAGAAGAAGTTCACTTAAATTGAACCCAAATCGATCTAATCTGGGTCAATCGAATTCACCTTATATAGAGATACGTGGTATTAATTCAAGATCGGTCCAGCCGTTCTTGAATTCAAAAAATAATAAAGTTACGTCGGTTGAATGCAAGCCTAAATAAATGAAATATGTCAACGTTATTTCATGCTGTCAAAAAAAGTTGGGTTATGTTGTTATGTAATGCGAATGAGTTTGTTTACAATTAAATTAATAATTAATTCAAAATTAATTTCTTTTTCCGAGATGCGTAACCTATCCACAAACCTTCCTTGGGATGGCCATAATATCCTACCAAAGTTTCATCGTAATCGGATAAGTGGTTTTAGAGCGCATATCCGGATACCCCGTAACCTTTGATTTTTATATATATACCGGGTGACAATGAAACTACTACCCATGGCGGCATTTCTTAACGGCTCGAGATAGAAATATGCAACTCGGTGTGTTGATAGGGTTGAAAATTGTGAACAATTTTGATATAAAAACAATTGAATGTCTTTTCGGGTTTCACCGGAAAAGGCATTGACTTTGTTATTTTAAATGGGACACCCTGTATATTATCAGTTTTTTGGAATCTCTGAACAATTCTAAATAACTTTTGTCTAACATACCCTATGTCAAAAATTGATAGTTTTTGAAATAGAGTCGCTCAAAAATATGTCGTAATTGCTATTTGTTTGTATCTTACGAAAAAACTAAGTAGGCCAGAACAAAAACAATCATGGTTATTTGCTTTTTATTCAAAGAGGTATTCGATAAATAATAAAAGAGAAGAATTATAGCACGTTAAGTAAAACGCGTTTTTCGAAAATCAATGTTTCAGTTTTTGATCGGACCCTGTACGAAAATGATTCAACTTATGGAAATGAAACTTCCACTACCCAATCCTACTTTTTTATCCTTTATCCAAATATGACAAATTCAACCTTCATAGACACTTGCAAAATTGAAAATTTGATAGCCCATTTTCACGTTGTTGGTACTTATCTAAAGCCGACAGATTTTTGAGCCACTCTATTTCAAAAACTATCAATTTTTGACATAGGGTATGTAGGACAAAAGTTATTTAGAATTGTTCAGAGACTCCAAAAAAAAGATAATATACTGGGTGTCCTATTTAAAATAACAAAGGCAATGCCATTTCCGGTGAAACCGGAAAAGCCATTCAGTTGTTTTTATATTAAAATTGTTCTAAATTTTCAACCCTATCGACATACGGAATTGCATATTTCTATCTCGAGTCGTTAAGAAATGCCGCTGTGGGTAGTAGTTTCATTGTCACCCTGTATAGATAAATAGATAAATAAAAGATAAATAGATAAAAGATAAAAGATAAATAAAAAAATTTGACGGAAAAAAACCTTCTTTATAGTTTGGTACAGGACGTATCATTGAAGAAGCAGTTACAAAAACTTTAAAAAAATCCTATTCCAATAGAACACAACAAACAAGAATATGCTGATGTCTCACCAAATTTTTAAAAAGTGGTGCATGCTTAAGACCATACAACATAAGTGAAAACTTCAATTAGGCAAGATTAACAATATGAAATACAGGTATTTTTTATGCTCTATATTCAATGCCCAGATTGATCTACCTTTGTATCAAAGATATGAAGCAGTTTTGATTTAAATCCATTTGCTAAATATTCTTTAGATTATGCCTGTGTGAAACAGCAATTTCTGTCACATATAGAATGAGCATACGCTTATAATATTACATAATATATTAAATTACGACCAAAGAAAAAAATAATAATTTTGTCAAAAAATGTGTCGACACGAGCCGACTGTACCCGAATGAGCGCTACATAGCCGAGCGTGACGGCTCAGTTTCATTCAATATCCAGAAAACAGTGTGCTGAATACTGCTGAACAGGCCTAAATAATACACTTGAAAAATATTTCTCGAAGTTCCAATAGAATGAAAACTTTCAAAAATCAAACATTTTCAATAAACATTTAATTTCGTCGACTTGTCTGATGTAATCTTCTAATGTAATAAAAAACGTGTGAGTTTTTTCAAGGAACTTAATCATTATTTTGAATTTTAACTTGCTTTAGTTTTTGAAAAGGGACTATAACCAATGTAAAATCTATGTAGGAACTTTTTATGAAGCAAGAACAAGAAATAGGCTTGCAAGAAATTTGCAAGAACAAGAAATTCGAAATTTCTTGTCTTGCTCAGCAAGACAAGACAAGAAATAGCCGAGCAAGACAAGATTTCTTGCGACCTGCAACACTAAGTCTAGGAGGCAGTGACGATTTTCGGCACTTATTTTCGCAGTCAGACAGCATGGATAGAATTGTAGGGTTAGTAATTCTAAGCAAAATTCATATATTTTTAGGGGGGAGGGGGGGTTTCCGATGGGTTGAGGCGCAAAATGCGTTAGAGCTTACGAATGCACGGCCCTTTTTTTTCCAGTGATAAAAATAAGTCTACTGATGAGAAGTATACTGAGGTTACGTAAAAAAATAGTCCGGCTAATCTGTGAGTATGGATAATAAAATAGTCCGGCTAATCTGTGAGTATGGATAATACGTCTGGCAATGAAAAATTTCAGCCAGACTCACTTTACACTATCTGAGATAAGCCAAATTGCTATTTTCATATACTTTATGTTCTATTGTAGTGAATGTAAAATATTTATGACTGGGAAAATAAGTGTACTTGTATTTTTCATTGATTTTTTGAACCCATCCGAAAATTTTTGCGAAACTCAAATATTCCTGTTTTGTATCACCAAGAGAACAATAGCTATTTTCCTAACGAGTGCGGGAAGAGCGCCCGAGTGCCGGAAATTTCTTCCCGCAAGAGTTAGGAACTATATTTTTTCTACGAGCATACTAAAGCTGATGTTACGAGAAGTTTAATTTAAATAAAATGCGATTGTGCAGAAGGTAGAATTAAAAATGTATTGAAAGGTATTTATAAAAAAAAGGTAAAGGTATTAAAGGTAATGATATAGGTGTATCAACAATACCAACAATTCCATGTCACTTGATTATTTCAAACTCTTCCCGCACTGAGTGCGGGAAGAAATCTCTTCCCGCACAGAAAATCGTGCGGGAAGAGCAATTTCCCGCACGCTCGTAGAAAAACTATTTAATATACACTAACTGGGAAAAAAAGTGCTAAAAAATTCCACTGCCTCCTGGACTATACAGGGTGTTCCGAAATTAATGCACCAAATTTTTATGGCATATTCTACGTCGAAAATAATCCCTATTTACCTATATAAACATATATCCGGAAACGCTTCCTTTCCGAGATACAGGGTGTTGAAATTGAAAAAAACTATTTTTTTAACATAATTCATACCACTTTGAAATTTTGTACACTGGTTTCAAGCAACCAAAGACATTTTCTGATGTGGAATATTTAATTAAAAAAATACCAGTGACGTCACAAAACTAATTTGAAACTTTAGGTCTTTAATGTTTAACATTTTTATCATAAAAATGGCAATTCCGCCATGCATCAAAATGTTTTTTTATTTTTTTTACTTTAAAACAGTGCATCTTCCGGAAAAAAGTGAAGACATCAAATTTGTTCTAAATTGAATGGGGATTTGAAAAATGATTTTTATTTTAGAAAAAAGCAGTGACGCACCATTTTTTTCTTAAAAAATATTCCTTACAAATCTGGAAGGACGCCACTGGTAATTTTAAAAAAAATAATTTCACATCAAAAAATGTCTTTTGCTGCTTGGAAGCAGTGTACAAAATTCCAATGAAATATCTAGAGTGGTTTGAAAATTATGATAGAAAAATAGTCTTTTTCTTAGAATTTCAACACCCTGTATCTCGGAAAAGAAGCGTTTCCGGACATATGTTTATAGAGGTAACTGGGGCTTATTTTTGACGTAGAATATGCCATAAGAATTTGGTGCATTAATTTCGGAACACCCTGTAGAGTTTGAATGAAATCAAATAGTAATTGAAACAAAATATTTAGATATTTTTATTAAAATATTACAATAAATGTACCTATAATATAAAATTTAGTCAAAAAATTTTCTTAGAATTAATATTATTCTTATAAAATACTTTCAATAAACTTGATCGACATTTTTATCAGACTTTATTCAAAAAAAATTAAACAACGAACAGTTGTGGTTTAATTTTCAATTCGTTCTTGTTTTTATCCTTCTTAACAAACTCCCCTTTAAGCATCAGCTGAACCTCATCCAAAGTTTTCCCCTTTGTTTCCGGTATCCAGAAAATTGTGACAAGCATCATACCAATACTGCAAGCAGCAAAAATGTAAAGAGGGACGTGCAATCCGAACTTATCGTAAAACACTTGATATAGGTTTATGGATAAAACAGCCCCCAAGACGTAGAAAACATCTGCCACAGTCATACCTAAAGCTTTAACAGTTGTTGGAAATATTTCAGCAATCATTACAATTGGCACCAATCCAAGACCTACTTTAAAAGTAGCTGCATATATCATTACACAGGCTGCTGGTATCCAACTTAATCCAGAAACGTCATGTCCGTTGTATTGGAGGTGGAAGAATATGGATAAAACTAATAAGGCTAAGCCAGTGGTAAAACTTGAAGATATGAGCAAAAATCTTCTGCCATATTTATCAATAAATGCTGAAGCCACTCCTGTGCTTATGAGCATTAATAAAGCAAACATTATTGATGCTGTAGAAGATTCAATGTATTCAGAGTTAGCTTCTTCGAGAATAATTTGTAGGTTCATTAAAAATACGCTTATCCCAACAAAGTGTTGTCCACCATTTAAAATAAGACAAATAAACAGGGCAAAACGATTGCTTTTTATCATTATTAAATCTCTAGGTCTGCCTTTCTCTTTTCTTTCTCTTTCAACTTCTTTTTCTATTTCACCTATTTCTTTGTCTACATCATCGTGAGCTCTGAGTCTTCTCAAAGCCTTCTTGGCCTTTTCAATTTGGTTTTTATAAACGTAATAATACGGTGATTCAGGCAAAAAAAATACAAATACTGATTGGCAAGCAGTGAAAAATATTCCTACAGCAGGAGTAACCCAATAAGGCGCTAATGCACCAGTACAATACACTATGAGAATTCCCACAATCATCATAAAATAAATAAGCGACGATAAGAAACCTCGAATTCTATAATCCGATATTTCTGCTATGTACATTGGCGCAGCCACAAAACACATATCTCCTGCCATTCCTGCAAGGAATCTGGAAACATAAATAACTGGCAGGTTCATGGTAACGAGTAAAAGTATCCAACAAACGCATCCTAACATGGCTGATAAAATCATGGATGTTTTCCTGCCAAAATATTCAACGCTTAGAATAGTGAAAGGCAGTCCTGCAACATAACCAAGAAGATTGATGGTTTCCATCCAGTCAGCGTCACTTGATGACATTTCAATGTGTGTGGAGTTGCTCATAAAATATGGAATCATGGGAGATGTCCAGCCATAAGTCATACCATCCGAGACTGCCATTAGCGTACCTGGAATATAGAAAAATATTTTTCAGTGAATTGGTATTGTGCGACACTTTTCTAGGTTTAGAAATGGATTGAGGATATTTTTTTTTTTTGAGAAAGTAAATTTGATTGAAGCTGGATGTTCGATGCCAGTGAAAAAAAAAAAAATATATATTTAAAAATATTTTTTCTACTGACGTTTCATAATAGCAACTTTTCGATTGTCATTTCAGTTTTGAAACGACATTCTTTTAGGCACTGAGTGCGTGAAAGTTACTTTTAGGCACTCAGTGCGTAAAAGTGACTTTTGAATGCGTAAAAGTGACTTATGAGTGCGTAAAAGTAATTTTTAAGCACTAGTGCCTAAAAGTGTCATTCATTATTCAGAAATAAAAAACACACTAAACACATATTTGAATTTTGTTTTGTATTTATTATGAATATTGAAAATGGAATTACTGAATTGACCGTTTGGGTTACTCAAAACAGAACTTTGTGTTATTACCTACTTTCTAGGATTTTAATTATTGATGTCGAATTTTCAAAAGAAAATCGCATGAAAAGTGTTAGGTGGCAAGTAAAAGCAGGTAACAAAGATTTTGGGTGTAATCGACTTATTCACATGAAATAAAATTGTATTTTTTTATTATAAAATGCCAGTAGAAAAAATCTTGTATACAATACGTTACGAAACGATGTCTTTTAGTCACTCGACGTGTTGTCCAACTCGGCTTTGCCTCGTTGGACAATTTTCACGTCGCGTGCCTAAAAGACGCTCATTTCGTAACTTATTGTATAAATAGCTATTTTCTATAGTAATAGGTATTCAGGGTTATTCACGATGTGGCTGAAGTTAGCTTCATATTCATATTCAGATTCGTGTATATCACAGTCGACCAGAAAATTATTGAAAAGAGAAATTAAAAAATTGCGAAATTCAATAAAATAAAATTATTAAATATAATGGGTCGTATGAATAAAAACTAAGTAGTTGCTACTACTACAAGTATCAGTATGTTCTACGTAGTATTTACTTCAAAATGAAGTAGTCTGTTTTTTTTTTTTAAAGATATTTCTCCAAGTAAAAAATTTAGTAACTATGTTGGCAACACAAGCCTTTTCTACATAAAAAATTTGGAAGCATTGACAATTTTACATTGTATTGCCAACATAATGTCATTTTGACTGTTATCTTTAAAAAAAAAACAGATTTTAGATACTACGTTTTGAAACTACCGGAAATTAGTAAATGCTTCTTTGTGAAGTAGATACTGCGAAGAATATACTAATACTTGTAGTAGTAGCACGTACTTCGTTTTTATTCATACCTACCACCAAAGAATATTATAGACTAACGTCTCTAGAAGAACCGTCCGGCGGCGAAAATATAAACCTGCGTGATGGCGCTAGTGTCCTAGTAAAATCAGTCGTTTCTGCGATTAAATTAATTTGAGGCACTAAATGCACGCGTATTTGCTAGGCTACGTTGCCAAGTTGTCTTTTGTATAACAAATTAAATGTCTGTGTTTTATATAGGTACTTATTACAACCTACCATAGAATAGGAATATTTTATAATTTAAAAAAAATAGGTAAATAGTTATGTATTTTTGTGGGTAGTAATTTTCTGTTACTAATAAATAGAGGAATAAAACACAAAAATTGTTTCTGTCTGTCTGTCTGTGTGTCTACCTATGTCCGTTATAGACTTTGAAACTATCCAATCGATGTGCCTCAAACCAGTTTAATGTTTAATATGAAAGGCAATAATAATAAGAAGGTTTAAGAGCGCTAATGACAGGTGTCAACTGTCAAATTGAGACAGTTGCAGATTGAACCATATTTTCACAACGGATTTTGCTGAAATTTAGCATACACTTCAAGTTCAGGTGATTAGATGATAATACATTTTAGATCACTAATGACAGGTGTCAACTGTCAAATGTGACAGGTGCAGATTTTTGAACCATTATTTCGCAACGGATTTTGCTGAAATTTTGCATACACTTCAAGTTCGGATGATAATACATTTTAGACCACTGATGACAGGTGTTAACTATCAAATGTAACAGATGCAGATTTGTGAACCATTTCTTCGCAATAGATTTTGCTGAAATTTTGCATACAGTTTAAGTTCGGATGATAATACAATTTGGAATACTCAACAGCTGTCAAATGTAATTTTTGACAGCTGTCAAAATATGACAGGTCGAGAGGTGAACAGGTTGTCAGGAATACCCCCGTCTTTGAAAATTTGCTTTTTTCGACAAATAGACAAATTTCAAAAATAAATAACCCATAATTTTGCACACCGATTTTCAAAATTTGCACACTTTTCTAGGGAAAGTTATATCGTATCAAAAGTTTGCATAACCCTACCCCTTTTTAAAAAAATTGATAGACCCCTATGCTACTCGTTTCATCTAATTTTGGACAATTTTGCACACCTATTTTCAAATTTTGCACACTCTTCTGGGAAAAGTTATGAGGTGTGATAAATATGCACTTTTTTCCCCGTTTATCTGAAACTTGAAAAATTCTTATGCTACTCGCTTCGGCTAATTTTGCACACCTTATTTTTAATTTTACACATTCCTCTGGGAGTTGAATGTTGTATTAATTTGCACGTTTTCCCCTGTTTGTCAAAAAATTGAAAAACTCTTGCTACTAGGTTCACTCAATTTTGTACGTTTATTTTCAACCTGAATTGAGTAACATAAAAATTTTTAATTTTCTCAAAAAACCGGCGGAAAAGTGCACATTTTGCAAAATTTGAAAATAGGTGTGCAAAGTTGTGCAAAATTAGGTGAACCTAGTAGCATAAGGATTTTTCAACTTTTTGAAAAACGAGGAGGGGGGGAGAGTGGGGAGACAAGCATAGGATCTTTTAATTTTTCGACAAACGGGGGGGAAAGTGCAAATTTTTAATGCCTTAATAACTTTCCCCAGAAACGTGCGCAAAATTGGCCAAAGCGAGTAGCATAAGCGCAACTAGGCTCCAAATTTGAGGGGTGTTGCAGCACCATTTTTTGTTTTTTTTTTTTTTTTGGAGTTTGATGGAAAGAAAATGAAACGCGTGAAAAGTTGGTTTCACGATGGTTTGTACTTACGTCATCATTTGCCTTTTTTTAAAAAAAATTGATTTTTTATGTCTGAAATTTCAAACACGGCACGCAAGTTTTTACTTACGTCATCGATGACGTCATAACTTAGAGAAAAAGTTATGTCATAGATTAATTGAGGCGTTGAGAACTAAAGTGGCCTAACCCACAAAATTTGCCATTTTATGTTAAGGTCAGTATCGTAATGGTAATTGCCTATATTTTCAATGTTAGAACGGCCTAACCCTAGTTCTTTATCACTTTTAGAGATGTCACCACAAATATTGTTTTAGCATTTAGATATGACCCACTAAATAAAATGCTATACTGGCCTAAAGAGGGTTAGGCCACTGTGATATTTTAATTTTTGACATATCAGCTGTTCGTGTGGTTTGTTTTGTGTTCTTCATGTTTCATGCAGTTTTTTATTCTCTTCGCTCTAGAAAGTGATATAAAAAATATTATTTTCTCCCCCATGGAGAACATGGATATTGATGGTAAGTTTTATAATACCTAACAGGGTTGAAATAGTTATTTTCCTAACAAGTGCGCAAAGTGTTACTTTTCCGCACGCAAACACAGTTATACGAACGACGCGAAGCGGAGTTCGGATACGTGTTTGCGTGCGGAAAAGACACTTTGCGCACGTGTTAGGAACAAAATTTTTCCTACGAGCTTCATATCAGGTAGGTAACAACAAAAATTTAAAAAAAAAACGATAATTTGTTTAATTATTTTTAATTAACTTGAAGGGAACCTATGCATTTATCAAAAAATTACATAACAAAAAAAAAATAACAGAAAATCCTCGTCAGAGCTGTTCATCTTAAAGCGTTTAAATTTGATGAGAAAGTTTGTAGATTTTTGCATATAAATAGAGAACAAATCTGATGTGTCAAAGTTAATTTATAATTGGTGTTTGTATAGATGTTGGCTGATATAGAAATAGAGGAAAAATTTGTCATCATGTGTCAAAGTCGACAGGTGCACTTATTGTTGCTTGACAATTATAATTACTTTTCGGCACTCAGTGCGGATAAGGCCTGTATCCGCACTGAGTGCGGAAAAGTGTAACTTTGAGCCCGGAAATGCGTGCGGAAAAGTACTACTTTGCGCACGCTCGTAGGAAAATAGTTTTTAGGTGCTCATTACAAACAAAAACCACACAAAAACTTATTTTAAGATATTTTTCTGAGCTAGTCGCAAATTATTAAGTAATTGATATTTCTTCAGGAGATTCAGATTCAGAATATTCAGATCCTTATGCTACAGATGAAGATTCTGAATATGAACCTGAAGTGCCAAAACCAACAGAGGCCGACTCTGAAAGTAGCGAAGAAAGCACGGCCATTGTAACAACCCCGCAAAGCAGCAGAAAAAGGGTCAGAAGAGAAAAAAGTTGGGCTTGCAATCAACGGAAAACTAAAAGAGCCTTAGGTCTTGCTTACAAAAATACAAGGGGAGTCCAGGTTTCTAAAAAGACATTCGAAATTCCTGTATGCCAATGTGGTAATAAATGCCATGAAAAGATTAGTGAAGCTCAGAGCGAAGCTATTTTCAAAAAGTTTTATGATCTGGCTGATTTCAATTTGCAGACGGCTTACATTTTTGGACAGATTAAGGTTATTAAAAAAACTCGCCTTTACACAGAAAATCCAGAGAGTCGCCGCCAATTTACTAGAATTTACTATTTGCCCAATGAAAATGGTTTAGATGTAAAAGTCTGCAAGGACTTTTTCAAAAAGAACTTACAAGTTTCTGACGGTCGATTATCGAGGATTTTAAAAAGCAAACCTGAGGGAATACCACCAAAAGATAAAAGAGGAAAACACCCTTCAGCGAACAAAACTCCCGAAGCCAAAGTTTTAGAAGTAATGGATTTTATTAAACGCTTTCCAGTTTTTGAATGCCATTATTCTAGGCCAAAAAGTGGCAATAGAAAGTATTTGGCCCCAGATCTGAATATAACAATAATGTATAGTTTGTATAAGGATCAAGCAGAATCAGCAGTTAGTAGATATATTTTTAGAAATATTTTTAATACTCGTTTTAACTTGCATTTCCACGCTCCAATAACTGACAGCTGCCGAAAATGTGACGAATTTAATAACAAGCTAAAGGTTACCGAAGGTGAGGAAAAAAGAAATCTAGAGATTGAAAAAGAGTTACATTTGCGTAAAGCGGAGCTGGCTAGATCAGAAATTAAAAAAGATGGAGAAAAAGCAATTATTGAAGAAAACGAAACGGCTGCAATAGCATTTGATTTAATGAAGACCCTTCCAACCCCTGTACTTTCGACAGGTATTACCTACTATAAACGTCAGTTGTGGACCTATTGTCTAGGTAACTAAAAATTAAACTCAAATTTTTGTTTTGCAAATTCTGTAGCTAATGTTTTAGGTATACACAACCTTGCCAAAAATACTGCTATTATGTATGTATGGAATGAATCAATTGCTTCAAGAGGGCCGCAAGAAATTGGATCGTGTTTGTTACACTATTGTAAAAATTTTGTTAAGGAAAAAAAACTCATTATGTACAGTGACCAATGTGGTGGCCAAAATAGGAACATAAAAATGGCGCTTATTTGCGACTTTATCACAACATCGACAGAATTTACTGTGAATGAAATAGATCACAAATTTTTGGTATCAGGCCATTCTTATCTGCCTTGTGATCAGGACTTTGGCATAGTGGAAAAAGAGAAAAAGTTCCATAAAGATATATTTTTACCCGTCCATTGGGTAACAGTTATAAAATCTGCACGTAAAAAAAAGCCTTTTCAGGTAATTGAAATATCCGGAAAAGATTTTTTTTCTACCAGAGTCCTGGAAAACAGCATAACTAATAGAAAAGTTTCTGAAAATGGTTCAAAGGTCGAATGGATGAAAATGCAATGGCTTAGATACACTTCTGAAAACAAGCACCGTTTTCAGTTCAAATATTCTAACTCAGAGGATGTTTTATTCAACTCTGTAAATGTGTCAAAGCGCAAGGCAGGTAATCAAGTTAATGCTGTACAACTGCTGTTCCCAAATGGTAGGCCAATTGAAAAAAAAAAGAAACAAGATCTTATGGAACTTCTTCCTTATATTCCGCCCATATACCACCCATTTTATGAAGGTCTGAAAACTTCTTCGACAGCAGCTGATGAACTGGCTGATGAGCATGCTGAGGGAGAAAATTGAGAAAATTTTGATACAAATGATGATGAAAACGCTGAAGCCTAGTTTTTTTAGTATCGAATTATAATCAGAAATAGGTACATTGTTTTATTTATTTTTTTTTCAATAAAGCATCTTTTCGATACTTTATGCAACTTTTTTCGTACCACTAAAGAATTCCATAATTTGGTTTGGGTTAGGCTGCCAGATTATGAATGATTCCCATTGTTTTCAAGATTCTGAAGTGGCCTAACCCACATCAAAGTTCAAATTTTTGAAAAATCAAAATTTTTTAATGACAGACCTTATACCTCTATGTTAGATTTAACTATTTTTCAAAATTTTTCTGCCTACAAGCTAATTTTAACAAAAAAAAATTAAAACAAATTTTATGGTAATTTTTGAACTCAATATTTTTGAAATCTTCAATTTGGGGTTAGGCCACTCTAGCTCTCAACGCCTCAATTCATGGAGCACCTTCGGAATTATTGTTTTGTAATACATTTTTTAACTTAGAAGAGAATTTATTCAGTTATCCGAAAATATATAAATAAAATTTCTCCTAGAGTGATTTTTCACTGTAAATTTTTGAAATTTTCCTTCTACCAGTTTTCCAGAAAAAATTTAAAATTAAAAAAATGATTTTTTGTTAAAAGTTAGTTTTCCAGAATTTCTTCTGGAGTGATTTTTTACTGGAAAATTTTGAAATTTTTATACATACATATAATGAACTTCTCACTTTCCTCTTTCTCCTGTAAAAATTTCAAAATTTTTCTTCTGCTAGTTTTCCAAAAAAAAAAAAATGTGAGAGCAAGAATTTTCCTTAATTTTACTTGAAAAAGTCGATTTTCCAAATGATTTCTCACTGGAAATTTTCGAAATTTTCCTATAATGAGCTCCTTATTTTCTTCTTTCTCTTGGAAAAATTTCACAACTTTTGCTTAATTAGTTTTCCAGAAATAAATTGAAATGTGAGAGAATGAATTTTCCTTAATTTTGCTTAAATAAGTCAATTTTCCAGAATTTTTCCTGAAGTGATTTTTTACTGGAAAATTTTGAAATTTTGTTTTAATGAGATCCTCACTTTCCTCTTTTTTCTGAAAAATTTCCACAATTATCCTTTTGCCAGTTTTCTAGAAAAAAAATAAAATGTAAGAAAATGAATTTTGCTTAAAAAACTCAATTTTTCCTTAGTTATTGCATTTTCGAAAAACTCATAATTTTCGTAATTCCCCCATAACTTTTTCGTAATTTTCCCATAACTTCAAAAATCATAATTTTTTCGTAATTCCCGTAATTTTTTGTACTTATTTTTAATTCTCCTAATTTTTTAAAAAACTTCGTTATTTTTAAATTCTCCCCAAGTTTTGTAATTTTCATAATTTCAAAAATTCGTGATTTTCATAATTCCTATAATTTTTGTAATTCTCTTTATTTTTATAATTCCAGTAATTTTTCGTAATTCCTGCAATTTTCCGTAACTTTTCAAAAATTGCGAAAAAGTGAGTGTCAAAATTGCTGGAAAGTGACGTTGGAATTACGAAAAATAGAAGTAAAAATTACGGAAAAATGAGGTTGGAAATGTTGGAATTAGGCAATCCAACGACCTGTCCAAATGGCGTCTGGTTGGCAAAGAATAAACAAAACACATATGTTTTTTTTTGGCAGGATTAAGCCTAGTACTCATAATTTGCTCTTTTTTGACATTGCATCGACAATTTGACGTTGAAAAAAGAACGAATTTCGCTTTTATGAGTACCAGGCTTTATCAATACATGGGACGAGTTCTCAAATCTGACACTTTTCTGACATCGTTGACATGTAAAAACCCGTATTCTAACCTCATAAAAATTTCAAAATGCCGGCTAGTTGGCAAAAGTCACGTGGTTTGGATTCCCTAATTGCGAAAAAGTTGAGTAAAAATGGCGGAAAAGCAAGGTTATAATCGAGAAAAAATGAGGTTATAAATACGAAAAACAAAAGTAAAGATTATGGAAAAATTAGGTTGAAATTGCGGCAATGTGAGTTTGGACTTTGAAATTGCGGAAAAGTGAAGGTTAAATTGCGAAAAAAAATTGTTGAAAGCCGTTATTTCTCAAATAAATTTCGTTATTTTTATAATTTTTCCTTAGTTTTTGCAATTTTTGCAAAACTCCTAATTTTCGTAATTCCCATAACTTTTTCCTAATTTTCTTAATTTTTCGTAACTTTCCAAAATTCCCGTAATTTTTGAATAATTCCTGTTGTTTCTCAGATTTTCGTAGTTTTTTAATTTCTGTAATTTCACAAAATATTTAGTTACCTACTTATTTTATAATTCCCCCTAAGTTTTTGTTACTTTCAAAAATTCGTAATTTTAAAAAAAAATTTATTGTGAATTTTCATTATTTCCGTAATTTCTCAGATAATTCTCCCTATTTCTATAATTCTTCCTTAGTCATTGCAATTCTTGGAAAACTCGTAATTTTCGTAATTCCCGTAACTTTTTCATAAATCCCGTAACTTACCAAAAATTATCGTAATTTTTTCGCAATTCTCGTGATTTTTCCTTATCTCTTCCAATCTTTATATTTCCTGTAGTTCCTTAAATTTTCGTAATTTTGTAATTCCCGTAATTTCTCAAAAAAACTCCGTTATCTTTATAATTCCCCCCCAGTTTGTTGTGATTCTCAAAAATTGGTAATTCCCGTATTTTTTTTTTCTTGGAATTTTCGAAAATTCTTAAATTCCCGTCATTTTTCAAAAAATTCTCGTTAATTTTCATAATTCCCCCCTTAGTTTTTGCAATTTTCGGAAAATTCGTGAATCCTGTAACTTTTTGTAATTCTTGTTATTTTCGTAATTTTTGAAAATTGTCACAATTTTTTTAATTCTCGTGATTTTTTCGTATTTTTCATAATTTTTGAATAATTCCTGTAGTTTCAGATTTCCGTAATTTTTTAATTCCTGTAATTTCTCAGGACAACTCCGTTATTTTCATAATTTTGAAATTATATAAGTCTCGTAATTTTCGTATTTTATTTTGGGAATTTTCGAAATCTTGTAATTCCTGTCATTTCTCAAATAATTCTCGTTATTTTCCTAATACCCCCTTAGTTTTTACAATTTTCGAAAAACTCGAAATTTTCGTAATTCCATTACATATTTTCGTAATTTTTTAATTTCCGTAATTTCTCAAAAAAATTTCGTTAGTTTTATAATTTTCTTTATGTTTTTTGAAATTTTCGAAAATTGGTAATTTCCGTATTTTTTTTTGTGGATTTTCGAAATTTTTTAATTCGTGTCATTTCTGAGATAATTCTTGTTATTTTCTAATTCCCCGTTATTTTTTTCAATTTTTGTAAAACTTGGTAATTTTCGTTATTCCCGCAATTTTTCGCGCTTTTTCCAGTAATTATTTATATTTTCAATTTTGTAATTTTCAATTTTCCTAATTTCCAAAAAAATTCGGGAATTTTCTAATTCTCCCTAAGTTATTGTAATTTTCGTAATTTCAAAAATTGTGATTTCCGTTATTTTGGGGAATTACCGTAATTCACGTAATTTTGAAATGACTTTGTAATTCTTTTCCGTAATATTTCGTAATACCCGTAATTTTTGTAATTTTCGTAGTTTTTTGTATTTTTCTCAATTCTCGTAATTTTCATAATTTCTCATAATTCCCGCAAATTTTCGTCATTTCCGTCATTTTACTAGGTTCCGTAAATTTTTAAAATTCCCATTATTTTTCGTAATTCCCGTAATTTGTCTTGTTAGTTTTCGTAACTTCAAAAATTAGTAATATTTAAATAATTGACGTAATTTTGGAGTGACTTCGTAATTCTTTTGCGTATTATTTGGCAATTCCCATAATTTTTGTAATTTCCGCAATTTTTTGTTATTCCGTGATTCTCGTAATGTTCCGTAATTCTCGTAAATGTTTGCAACTCTCTCTAATTTTTCATATTTTACGTACTTTAGCGTAATTCCCGTAATTTTTCGTAACTGTTCAAAAATTATCGTTATTTTCGTAATTTTGAAATGAGGAAAAATGAGGATAAAATCGTGGAAAGTGATGATAAAATCACAAAAAAAAGAGTCAAAAATCGCAAGAAAAATATGAGTCAAAAATTTCAAAAAGAGTGAATTTAAACTCGCGGAAAAGTAAGATGAGACTCACGGAAAAATGAGGATAAAGTCACGAAAAGTAAGGATAAAATCGCGGAGAATGAAATATGAATCGCGGAAAAGTGAGGATAACATCGCAAAAAAAAGTGAGACAAGAATCGCGGAAAAATGAGATTATATTTACAGAAAAGTCGGTTTACAATCGTGAAAAAGTGGATTTAGAATTGCGGTAAGTGATGGTAAAATTGCAAAAAAATGAGTCAAAAATAAAAAAAAAAATATTTTTCAAAAATCACAAAAAAAGTGAGGTCAAATTAGCGGAAAAGTGGAGATAAAATCGCGGAAAGTAGGGGAACAATCGCGGGAAAATGAGGTAAGAATCGCGGAAAAATGAGGATGAAATAGCAGAAAAATAAGTTTGTAATCGCCGAGGAGTGAGAGCCAAAAATCGCAAAAAAGTGAAAACAAAATTGCAAAAAAGTGGGTCAAAAATCACAAAAAAAATGAGTCAAAAATTTCAAAAAAAGTGAGTGTGAATTTGTGAAAAAGTGAGATAAGAATCGCGAAAAAATGAGGTAATATTTGCGGAAAAGTGGGTTTACAATCGCGGAAAAGTGAATTTAGAATCGCGGAGAAGTGATAGTAAAATCTAAGATTTCTAAATTATGACGTCATCAAATTGGATTTTTCAATAAATAATAAATTGGAAGCATCTTTCCTACATAAAATTATTGAATTTGACATTTATCAAAAGATCCAAAGAACCAGCACCTTGTTTTACAGGTAATGAAATGTCTTGTCAGTTTCTTGAAAGTATGTCGTGGTCAGTAATTTTTTTTGCTAGAAATGCAACAAAAATACAGAAGAAAGAGAAGATTGCATCGATCCCTTGAAAAATATAGATGAGGCGGCCAATCGGGCTACCTCAGTTGTTCCAATTTTACCATTAATATCAATGTAAATAACTAAAAATACAAACATTTTTGATGTTCGCTCTCAAAATTTGATGTTTCATTTTTAACACTAGTGCTATAAAGACTTTATGGCACTAGTGCGATAAAGTAACATTTTTAATGCTACGGGGGGTGTTAAAAATTGCATTTTTGACACGTTTGTAGAAAAAGTTTTTTTTTTTAAAGATAAAAGTCAAAATGACATTAAGTTGGCAATGCAATGTAAAATTGTCAATGCTTTCAAATTTTTTATGTAGAAAAGGCTTGTGTTGCCAACATAGTTATTAAATTTTTGACTTGGGGAATTATCTTTAAAAAAAAAACATACTTTAGCTTTCCCCCAGAAAAGTGTGCAAAATTTGAAAATAGGCATGCGAAATTGTGCAAATTTAGGTGAATAGGAATTTTTCAAGTTTTAGACAAACAAGGGGGAACGGTCAAGTTTGCCCCTAGTTTAAAAAAATGCTCTAGTTTTCGTTGTGTTGTGTGCAATATTTTAGTTATAGTGTGCAAAATTATTATGGTTTAGGTATTTATTTTTGAAATTTGTTTAATACAGGCGGAAACTTGACCGACCCCCAAAATTTACTTGTTGGTAAATAAACCGATCTACTGGAAAATAAATAAATAATTCATAATTCGAAATTAAACATAAATTTCTAAGTGGCAAATTTGCCAAATATACTGAAAAAAAAAACCTAAAGAAAATGATAGAATAGCATCCATCTATGATATTCGTTGGTAAATTATCAAATATGTTAGAAAATATATGCTTAACTTCCTAATTCCTTTTGGCACGCGTCTGTCTCCCTATGCACGCAAAGCAAATATTTCACTTTAATAACTTCATTCAGAGAAGCAGACACGGATGCTGGCTCGCTGGCTGGACGCTGAATCAACAGCACTGACAACTCGGCAACAGTGGGCAATAGACTCGAGCCAGCGTCCACACCGGGAAAAGCCGGCGTCCATCGAGGTATCAAAAATCAGAATACGGACGAGACTTCTAGAGACGTTAGTCTATAATATTCTTTGCTACCACCCAATATGTAGGGAATTTCTGGGATTCGGAA